GTACGCGGAGCAATCTGTAGAGCTGGAAGCTGAGAACTGGCGACTTTCAAGTACAACTTTAGTACGCGGAGCAATCTGTAGAGCTGGAAGCTGAGAACTGGCGACTTTGTAGTACAACTTTAGTACGCGGAACAATCTGTGCAGCTAGAAGCTGAGAACTGGCGACTGTGTAGTACAACTGCAGTACGCGGAGCATCTGGGGAGCTGGAAGATGAGAACTGACTGGCGACTTTCTAGTACAACTTTAGCACGCGGAACAACCTGTGGAGCTGGAAGCTGAGAACTGGCCACTTTGTAGTACAAGTGTAGTACGCGGAGGAGTCAGCTCTCGCTGCTGTGAGTCATCTCTCGCGACTGAGTCAGCTCTCGCTATAGCCATCTCTCGCGGCTGAGTCATCTCTCGCTGCTGAGTCATCTCTCGCTGTGTGCAGGTTTGGCACAGTTCATACTGATAGTAGTTGGTTGCATTTATGCAGGACAGGACATTCAACTGCTGGTCAATACACCACTCATCATACACCACTCAGCATACACCACTCATCATACACCACTCGTCATACACCCCTTTTGTCGTGGCAAAGATACAACCCAGTACGCTGTTGTGAGCTGCTGATCCTGCAGGGGGCACACACCTTACACACGTGGAATCCCGTGGGTCAAAAGTCCGGAGCGCGTGCGTTTGACTGGAGGACGCGCATGTTGGAGAGAACGTGGACACTCCTATGGTCCTATAGGTCAATTTGTTCTTATAGGAAACTTCCGCCGCCGGCTTGCCCGGGAACTGCTTGTATGGTTTTCGGCTTAATGTGGACTTTTGACCAAGAGGTTTTATCCAAATGGTGGATGTATGAATCAAGAGTCTACATTCGAGGGCCAAATATGCTTGGATGGACACTGTGCTGTTCTTTCGGGGAACTGTCAGAAAGCACGGGAAAGTGGCTACCCAGGACTAGTGCTCGCTTTTGTATGACAGCTTTTAATCATTTTTGGGAGTGGGGAAACTGCAGAAACCCCACTCAACCAGAAACGAGAAAAGAGGTTAACGGGTTCACCTCCGTACCTGGGTCGGTCACTCCTGGTCACTTCCGGTCACCGGGGGAAAGAGGCGGGTCGTATTGGTTCGGGCAAAGAAGGGCGGGTGGATTCGGAGTAACATGTGGGAGGCCGCGTGATTGAATATGTTTGAATATCAAAGCTCGTGTTGATGATCATTCTTTGAAAAAACTTTGGAAAAAGGGTCATTCTTGTGTGATCAGCTTGTCCTTGCAGCTTGCTAAACAATGCTTTAGATCATTTTAGCAAGCTGCAAGCTGCAAGGGCTTTCAACATTGGAAAAAAACATTGGAAAACCACTGTCTTAGCTTGCAAAACGCCTCAGCTTGCTCCTCAAAACGCCTCAGCCTCAGCACTCTGCAGGACCGAGTGCTCATCATCGACAATGTCCAGGAGCGATCGAGCAGACTCTCGGGTAGCCTCCCTCCAAGCAGCACTGGAAATGGAGAAATTCCTAAGGGGTGTCCAATTATAGCTCCTTAGAGGTTAAGGGGTATCCATTAACCACCCCTTAGGGGGTCCTGGTATAGAGTCTTCCTTTCCGGGCCTTGTTCCACTTTGTGTTGGGGGAGGGTCACCACTCGCCAGTCAATGCAGTTCTGGTTGAGGCTGGATGAGCGCTGCCCCGCACTGCCCTGCACTGCCCGCCCAGGAGAATTTCATGCTCCAGCCGCACAATGGCATCTTCATCCTGTCGTGGTGCCCCGCGGCAACATACCGGACCCAGACCATCTATGCATATCGGCTATTTAACAACTATTTGCCTAAATTGGGGTGATTGAAAAGGGGGTCAATGTTGGCATATATTCCATACATGGATGGTCTGTCACATGGATGGTCTGTGGATATGCACTCCAACTGACTTTCACATGCTTCGGTGAATCTTTTATCGGAGGAAGATCCTTGTCCCAGTTCAGCCCCAGCCCACTTCTAGGTGTGAAACAGCGTCTTTCGAAGAGGTTTCTGGACTTGGACTCTGAAAAGGTACCATGTCAACTGAGTTACTGAGTCTGATCTCAAGCGGCTTTCCTCTTCCAAAAAAGTCGGGAAAGTGCAAGTTACCTGACCTGCCAAAACCGATGTTTTTTGGGGGGTCATTGGCTGGTGACACCCCACTCAACTCTTTTTTTTAGGCTCAAGTGCTAATAGTGTGAACCTGTATGTTCAGATCTTTGGCTCGGGAGTCAGCTTTTCGAGCTCGTTGGGTTATTTCCCGAACTGGGTTGTTGATGGGTGACACCGGTGACTTTTCAGTTCGGTGAACCCAAACGACTTTCCGATCGAAGTGCTTCGAGAGTCCTTGAGTCCGACGGAGCTCGTTTGAGGTACGACGATCCCAATGACACGGCACTCTTCGCGCTGGGGCGCTCGGCTGCGGAATACAAAGCTTCGTAGTTGGCCTACGCGGCCGGAAGCAACCTAACCATCATCATCCACTGTTCTAGGGAATGAGGATGCACACGATTCCACTGTACGTGTTTGCTTCGCAAGAAGGCTCTACAATATATTCAATCTACATGGTATTTCCTGATGATTACCCACATTATCCCACACTGTACTGGTTGATGATTTCCAGCATAACAGCAACCTTTGAAGAACTCCTTAACAAAAAGACAAACATCAATTTGGTCCCTTCCACTTCTGACACTTTCCATCTTGTTTCTTGTACATTGAACGAAAAGAAGGACTGGATGTCCACGACCGCATCGGCTCGTCCACTACCGGGCCGCCGAGGCTCACGCCCCTCTTGGAAGAACTGGCGGCGACGCGACCGAAGGCGCCGAGTCGTCGTCGGTCTGGTCCTCCTCGTCGTCGCCGCGTCGTCGTGGGGGAGAAGGGACGGGGGATTGGAGGCAGTTCCCACGAGGTGGCCTCATGACATATAGCTGTTTTGCTGTGGTTGTTTAAAAGAATAAGGAAAAAGGATCAAACATGGCTACTGTAAAGCTTTAGATCTAGAGAAGAAAGTATGCTGAGAGGAGAGGAAGTTTTGAGGTAGCACCAAAGACCCCTAAAATCCTTAAACCACAGATGGTTCCTTGAAATCGCGTGGGGACTGGGATCCACTGGGTAGATTCTGCTGAGCGTTCTTGCTGACCAGATTCCATCCCAGACTACCCACGAAGTCAACGAGCATGAGTTGCCCGGCGGCGACGGATGATTTTCCTGGTTTTTGTCCTTCTCCAGGTGCACGACCTCCTTGAGAAGTACAAGTTGGAGGCATGCAAAGACACATGGATATCTCGAGTTTGCTCTGAGAGTTCAAGGGTCTCTCAAGAACTGAGTCTGGTACGCACTTTGGTGTGATTTTGCCATATGTTTTGGGCCATTTTAGTACTGTGGTCGCTCGTCAGACGGCAAGATAGCTACAGTGTAGCTCTTCTACTGTTGAGTAATATGTCAGCCAGTCTCCGCTGCCCAAGAGTACCTGCCGCAGATTCCTGGCTGGGCGGGCTTCGAAAGCTACGACCAGTGCGGCTCTTAGCTATGCATGCTTGAGTCATCTTGATTCTGTAGATCATGTTGGAAAACAAACACGGCAACCTTTCGCACAGTGCGTTGGCCTCCAACCAGTCCATGAAATCTGTCTACCACAAGGCCCTAAGGGTAGACGTTGGTGTGAATCTCCGCCGGCTGGATTTTATAGTCTTGCTGACGGCAAGCCTGAAGAAGAAGCAATTATTTGTGATGCCCAGACGCGACCCTGGACCCTGCGTTCAGTAGGGGCCGTACCCGAATCCTTTGGAGGGCCCCGGACCTTCTCACCAATCCCTATGGTTTGGTTCGGGACCGGGAACGGGCTGTGAGGGGTCGCGTCTGGATGAGCCAAGTCCACCTGGCGCCCTCCGTGACCCAGGATGGGTGGCGATCTGTCAGAATATGATCCCACGCTGGACGATGCAGGCATTGCGCCCCCTCAGATGGCTGGGATGTGAAGTCTTTAACACTTATTTCAAAACCTCCAAGACAATTTGCATGAGGACACATGTCAATTCAAAGCCACTGCATGGAGTTTTGGCACATTCCCCTCCAAAATCACTTTACTAATTACAAGAGGATACAAGAGGACCCCAGGATGATATCGATTGAACAGGAACTTTCGATGCTTCTCGTCACGTCCATGTTGGAGCATCCTCCATGTTGCACAGCCTGGCGACGGTCAACTTGACGCATTTGGCTTTGAGCTTGGGGCAAGGACCAAACATGCTCGGCAGAAGCTGAAGCATCTCAAGGTAAGGACCTCACGACGTCTCACTGACCTCTCATGTGTTTCCATTCTATACCACTAGTCACTAACCGACAATGTTGGGGAGGGTTCCAGCCTCCAGTTTTGAGTGTTCACTGACATGATACGAGTCCTCAAACATGCCTGCAAAGCACAAAAGCATCTGAATACTTTCTTTCCAATGGCATGCCTTCAGCATTGGTTGGCACTGGACACAAACCAGAAACACACATCCGAAGAACGATGAAGCTGAACCATGCCTAGCTAGCGCGTGAACTGACATCATGGATGGCTTTCTACGAGTCAGGTGCTGAGGCGATCAGACGGTGCTTTCGACGGATCAGGATCTGGGAAGTTCCGTTGAAAGGAGGCTTCCAGTGATTGAAACACGTACTGTAAGCGATCCGGGCAGGAACAGGAGGTCACGGAAGATTTCGCAACTTGCAGAGAAGCAGTTAACTTGCAGAGAAGCAGTATATAATTAGTCATGTATGAATTCATGATATATTAGAGCAGCGAACAACTGTATGTTGGTTGTGTCAACGAAACAAACATGCTACGTAGTTCTTTCACAGACTTGGCGGATTGGAGCGTTTTTTCTCATGTCTGAGCCGTCGACTTGGTTCGTCTCCGCTGAGGCCCTGTTCCTGGAGAAGGGCTTCACCGAGGATCAACTCGATCAGATCGAGGCACGTCGATCTGATCAACTGCAGTTCCGTCCAGGACAGTTCCGTAGGATTTCTAGGATGAAGGGCCTCATCTTTGGGTGAATTTCCTCGCTCTTATGAGCGAATCGTGTCCACACGAAAAAGAAGATGACCCGGATGACCCGCGTCATGTCGCGCATTTGCCGAAAAGCCCCACACTTTTGGAGTTCCTCACGCTCTTCCAATCGCCTTATGCGCGGGCCCGCATCGCGTCGCTTCGCGTCTCTTCGTGCGAGGCTAAAGACCGAGAGCTACGGCGGGTGGGGGACCTGGCGGCAGGCGCTAGCAGCGAAGACGATGCTCGCGTGCCTTGGCTTGGATCGATCGACCATCATATTCGTGTGATCCAGGAGGAGTTGACTGAGACGTTTGTTTTTGTGGTTTTCAGGTGATCTTTCTTTTTCCTCACTGAAGCAGAGTCGATCCCGCGCAGAGGAGTCGATGTGTTTCTTTTGTTGCTTTTCCAGCTCAAGATTAGACTGGAAGTATCTCAGTGTTTCTCCATCACTCTTGGTTTGGTGTCCAGTTGGGTTGATGGCTTGGGGTCTAATCGGTTGTGTGGAGATGGGGAAGTGTCACTGGAACGAACATGAGAGAAATCACCTGTCACCTGTCAGAGAGTCAGACCAATCAAGCCAAACACCTAGACCTGGCAAATGTTTGAGACATACACGATCATACACGGTTTTGTTCCCAGGAAACCTCTAGAGCCGTCGGTTTTCACAAGAACATCACGACTTTCACAGATGGAAAGACCTGCAACCAGGCCCCATCATCATCCACTGGGCCCTTCTTGGTTGGAAGATACCCAATGATATATCCACCTTTTATCATTTGTTTTATTAATACCCAATGAAATACCGTTATCATACAATAAATATAATCCCAATGAACATCATTTATCTCACCACGCACTCATACGACGCATCTTCACTGGCATCTGACGCCCGAGAACTGCTCTCGCCGCGGCCGAGGCCTGGGCGGAGGAGTTGGGTCTCAGCAGCCGCGTGGCGCGCAGCCGCTTCGTCCAGTTGGGCGCCCAGAGGAAAACGCCGGAGGGAGTGGGATGGGTGTTGCGGGGCCTCTCTCGAGCTATAGCATTACTATATATACAAAGGCAGAGGTATATACAGCTTAGGTACAGCTGTATAGGGTAGGTTATGAAGTGGGTTCTTAGAAAGAGATTTAGACTAAAGACTAAAGGCCTTGATCGACAAAGTGACTTGTTTTTCTTTTTTGTAAGTTTGTGCTTGCAATCTGTGTAACCCTTCTAGAAGCGCTCCTAGCAAGTCATAGTCGTGCATTTGGTTCCAAAGAGCGCGTCAAATCGACCGTCCTCTTTCTCCCCGCGATGCTGCGTCCAGCTGCTCCCCGCGCGGTGCACTCATCCGCCTCCAGCGGCGCAGGTCTTGGATGGAAGCAAGGTCTGGGAGCTTTGATGCCGCAGGGGGCGCCCAGCCATCACCGCGTCCGGTGGCGACGTCCGGTGATGAGATCCTAACACCGGGTCACCGGTGATGTGGAATGGGAGATGCTGTCGTTTTTGTGTAGGTAGAAGTCAAGGGTGAAATAGGGGTGAAATCACACTGGGCAAGGATGAAGGATGTACTGTATAGAAGTGTTTGAAACGGATTCATTCGGCTAATATCTTCGGTGTCTTCATCTTCCTGAAATACTGTAGTGCGATTGACAGGTGTGATGAGGGCATTTTCACCAGCTTTGTTTCCTGGAATTCCATAGAAGTTCTTTGGATTCACTGTAGCTGGACCAAGTACCCTCCGACTCGCTAACCTGGACATGGAAAATGGCCCCTTGGAAGACTATACTTTCCTTACCCTAGTGCTCCAGAGCATCTCTGAGAAGGTATCTGAAAATTCATCTGTTGAGGAGGTGTTCGAACCGAAAGTTGTGTGAGGTTGGGTCTGGACTCCGGACGCGTGCTGAACGGGTTCTGGCTCAGATGCGTTTTCTTCACGAGTGTGAACGTTGCCTGGTATACACTATATAAAGAGAAGCCACCAACCGGCCAACATCGGCCAACCATCTCATGTGGACCACATGGACTTACAAACGTACATGTTTTATCCAGACCTTCGAATCGATGAGCCATGCGGCTGGGAAGGGATGCGGCACTACGTGGTGCGCCCTGGAGTGTCGCTAGTGTTCTTGGGATTCTTGAAATCATGGATAATGATGATCTATAGAGATACATGGATGGCTCAGGGGGGGTGAGATGGTTAGACTTGTGACGTCGTCTGCACGTAGCTGCCACAAGCAGCATCCTGGCGCCAGCGGCCGGTGCACGGCATGGCGTTGATCGCGAGCCCTCTCGATGATGGGATGGGGGTGGATCGTCCCCTCAAGTTCAAGCTGAGTGTTACTCGGGGTGAACAATGTGCGTTCGACCATCGCACATTGATAGTTGGAGATATCGGAGGTTATCGATATCGTTGATCAATGTTTGATTAGGCTACTGGCTTGGCAATCCATGGTGGCATCAAGACCTACATCGAGGAGTTCCAGCCCCAAATCCTGGATAGGGAAGAACATATGCGCGAACAGGATGGACCTGCATCGATTCGAATTGATTATTGCAATTGGATTGAGATTTTCATAGATTTTCTAATTTGGCGGCCTGAGGGCAAATGGATCATCGAGTGGAACCGGGAGGAAGGTGTCTGGGTTGAATTGGGCAAGTACACCTCAATATTCTGCAACTTTGGGTTCGAACCCCTTCTCAAAAGATAAATTTCTAAGCGCTAGGGAAAATCATACCTCGATCGATCTTCAGGCGAGTGTCTTTGAGAAAGACCTGGTGTTCAACTATGACTATGAGGTGATCAAGGAGGTGCTGATGTCCATCCATGTCATGGTGTGCTCCCACACGTGTTGCCGCAAGGGATCCCGCCCCTGAAGGACTTTGAGGTTTCTTGGCTCTGAATCGATATCGGTCATTTCGATGCATATTACCGTACGCTCAAGTGTGAAATCTCGGACTCATTGTGTTAGAGCTGATGATCTGGAGCACTAGGGTTTGTTGGATATACCAAGGGCGCCTTCGTCTACACCACTGCGGTGCACAACTTCCATGTGGAGCTGCACCACGTGCGGGGTGGCAAGAAGAAGATGCGAGATCTTTGGCCTAATGTGGGCCCCAAATAATGTGATTTCCAGAAAAAATCCTAGAAATCTTGATTTGAATTAGACATGAAAGGAAAGGAAAGGAGATTGAAGGAAAGGAAAAGAAATGAAAGGAAAGGAAAGGACATTGAAAGGACAATGAAAGGAAAGGAAAGGAAATTGAAAGGACAATGAAAGGAAATTGAAAGGACAATGAAAGGAAAGGAAAAGACATGAAAGGAAAGGAACGGATTTTGAAAGGACAATGAAAGGAAAGGAAAGGAAACCTAAAGGACTTGTAAAGGAAACCACAAAAAGAACCAGCCAAAAAGTGTTTAGTAGTATTTGAGGTCTTGAGTAATTGAAGGTTTGGGCTGCTTGTGGGGGGTGGTCTTTGTGGGTTGATTTCAGGTTGGAAATTGCAACGCCCAAATAAGCAAATTTAAAAGAAACATGCAGCCCACAGCCGTCCGCTGCACCACCACCCTGGCGCAGAACGTTGAGGGTGCCTTCATTGGCGCGTGATGCTCTTGGTTCGACTCAAGCTGCCCCACTTTACCCAGGCAATACCCCAAGCCCGAGCTCGACCTACATCCTCACCTTACCAAAGCCAGGCAGTTCCCCAAACCCAAGCAAAAGCTTCAGTGGCTGCCCCATCTTTCCACAGAGATCCACTGGCCGTCCCATCCCAGCCAAATCACCAAGCCGGTTCATCGCATCCATGTCAGGCAAGCCACCAAGCCCAAGGACAAGATCCACTGGCAAACTCATGGCAGGCAAATCACCAAGCCCAAGGACAAAATACACTGGCCGGATCATCGCATCCATCGCAGGCAGCCCACCAAGCCCAAGGACAAGATCCGCTGGCCGGTTCATCGCATCCATGGCGCGCAAACCACCAAGCCCAAGGGCAAGATCCCCTGGCTGGTTCATCGCGTCCATGGCTGGCAAACCACCAAGCCCAAGGGCAAGATCCCATGGCCGGTTCATCGCATCCATGACAGGGCAAGATCCCATGGCCCGTTCATCGCATCCATGGCAGGCAAACCACCAGGCTCAAGGGCAAGATCCGCTGGCTGGTTCATCGCAGGCGGCATTGCCCAGAGGACTGGCTGGGCCGCAACACGAGGGGCACTAGTACTGTACGTTTCTTGGCAGATTTTGTGTTTGTAGTGGGTTGATCGTGTGCGGTGCGGTCCTTTGGGCCGCAAGGAGTCGAAACAAAAAGGACACCCAACAAACTCTATGACCACCACCACTTCAAAAGGAATGGTTTCACATGTTGTCAGATAGAATGTTATTAGTATTTGGCAGCGGTCCCTTGGACCGCTTATAGTTTAGGAGACGCACCAAAGCATGCAATAGCAAGATGGTCTTTAGTTCAAAGCAGTTCTCACCCCCGTCCCCGGCACTCAGGCGATGTTTTCTTCTCGACGTGAATACGAAAGGCTTGTGAGGGGCCAGTACCGCAAAAGAGGCGGCAGTCAGGCCAAGGCATCTTCGCGGCGCTGAGGTGAAAAACATAGCTGTTCACGTGCTGTGAATGGGCGGCCCAGCTAGACAGAGACACGTGTATACTCATGACCTGGGCGGCCCAATGGGCCGCCACCAGCTACACATAGGCACATGTATGCTCATGACATGGGCGGCCCAATGGGCCGCCAGTAGCTACACAAAGGCATGATGTTGGCGACCGTGCTTGCGTTAGAACTACTTGTGATGTTTGGCGGCTCCCTGATCCGCCCCGCCAACTCATATAGCAATATATAGCCTGGGATATATTCACTATTGTTTTCCAATGCTTGGCGGCTCAAAGAGCCGCCTGGAAAAAAAGTCAGGGCTGCCTTTGTCAATGGAAGATTTTTGGCGGCTCCCTGAGCCGCCTTCTGATGTAACAAAACACTAAACAAAACACATGTTGTCAGTTTCTGTTTAGAAGTGTTTGGCGGCCCCATGAGCCGCTCACATGTATAGAAGTGTGTTTTCTAGCTAAAGATACCAGTGCGGTGACACACGAACACACCAAACACAACAAACGTAAGCCAATTAAGCAAATACCAAAAAGTTGTGCAAACAAAACACTAACATGTTGAAAGTTAGTTTTACTTACCAAACTTATAAACTACTTTTACACATAACTTAGACAATTTTAGTACAGCAATTTCAAAAGGCTCAGATTGTAAGTTTTGTAAGTTAACTTACAAGTTTTCTGTGTGGTGTAACTGCTGTAACTTATTAATAAGTTCCATGTAGTGTCTGTCGTCGCTCCGTGCAGGACCCCTATAGCTCTATGTCCACTTCCGCAGCACTGAGCTTGGCGCGCTTAATAATTACTCTTCGTGGTGAGCACGTGAAAACGGCGGGCTGTTGGAGGGTAGCCGGAACAAGTTGGTGAGTCAAAATCCTTTGGTGAGGGAACACCACATGCGAGATTGATGATATTTGGTTACCATGGATGATTTTGGGGGAAAACCATGTCCGCGTTTAATTCCTACTTTTGCTGAGGGTGGGTCCGGACACCTTCTAAGAATGTATCCGGGAGCCCTTTGGTTAATGAACAGTTGGGGTTTTCCACTTCCATGTTGGTGAATCGGAGTGTACAGAAGCTCTTGAACTATATAATATTTGCTGTATACCCTCTGTCTGCCCAAGTGTGAAAGGAAAAACATCGAGATCGTTCCATGAGGCAGGCTACTCTGCGCCTGCGCCGCTTCCACCGGAACCGATCCCGGAGCCGATCGAGAAGTACATGGAGCCCGAACCGAAGTTTGTGGAGGAGGTGATTGAGGAGCCCGAAGTTCTCAGGCTTTACAAGATTCTTCACAGAAAGGGAATTGAACCTCCACCACACCCAGTGGACATGTGAAAGCCGATTGAAAAGACTATATTACTGGATTTGAAGCTCCAAATATGAAGTTCCAAGATATTTGGAACCCCCGACTTATTAAATTACAAACCCTTGGGAAAGATCAATCCGGAGTCCTGCACGCTTGCAAGACGCACGGAACACGTCGCGCAGGACCCGGAGGAATCAGGAGATGACTGGGTGAAGGTCTCACGTCCAGCACCGCGGCCGGTGGAGACACGTGAGGGACCTCAAAAGATGTCGCAGAAGACGTCGGCATGACGAGAGAACTCGAAAAAAAACAGAAAGAGTCGAAAACATGTTTTCAGAGGTTTCTGGAACTTCCTGGGAAAGGCTTTACCTGCAGAAATGCAGACTGACGTTGAAGTATACTGAATGATCGATCACAAGGTTTCTCCTTCTCGCCCAGGTGTGGCGTTGAGCTACATCGATGCCAATCTGCCGTCATTTTGCTACGTCGATCCAACTGGACTGGACAGGACCTAATGGCCCCCTGCCTCCTTGAAGAGACTGGACGACTGCGACTGGACTGGAACCCATATGGAACCCACTGGCATCCTTTGAGAGGGTTTTATTTGAATCACTGATGTATTATGAGTCCAAGTACCTCTCCTGAATATGGAGAGTTCAGGAGTTTGGATTGGACTTAGGCTCTATACTTGCTGAGTCAAGGCTTGCAGGGTCCAAGTACCTCTCCTGAAGAAGGCGTGTGTCTTGCGCCCGTGCGCTGCCCGAAGCGCCGTCGCCAGGGCGAGCCCGTGTCGAAGCCGGGTGGAGTCAGCGACATGCTACGGAGGTGCGATCGAAAGATCCGGCAGCGGGTCGAACTGATCGATGGCACCGGGTGCGGGCATGGTGCGGGTCATGGGGACGGGGGCGAAAACTGGGTGTGAACGAAGGAGGGCGGATCACAAGGGCAACAGCTCCTTGAGAAAAGTTTGGTTCTTGTTTTTTCATTGTTGATAGGTATCTCCAGTGAAGATGTTCAGTAATTATTTGCGTTGCATGACTTGAGAAGGAAACGGTGATCTAAACGAAGTCGACTGATTCTCTTTGAAGTGGAGAAAACAGATTCTGACAAGTAGAAAGTCAAGCAGTTTAGTGACTAAACCATCTAAACCCATTTTCATGGACTCGTTTGCATTCACATCTGTTGGGTGTTTGCATCGCACCGTCTGTGAACACCTGTTCGACCGCCAGTTCGTTGCGCTCGCATGGCCTCACCAGCATGGAGGCGGGTAACTCGAAGCCACTCAGCACTCCTGGAGTCATAGATCTTGCGCCAAATCCCAACCATCCTGGTTCCCTCAGATTTGGGCACTAGATAGACGTTTTTGACCATAGCCTTAGCTTTTAGTGAAACCATGTGAAACACAGAGAGTGCGGAGATCACGAGATCTTAGATGTGCGGAGTTCAGTTGGGTGGCAGGTGAGCCAGTTAGAGCAAACCCTCGAGGCTAGGAGTTGTTGGGAGCCTCAGATCTCTCTAGGCCCAGAGTGAGGAGTAGTTGGCCATGAGGAACCCAATCATCATGAATGGTCTGAATCCCAAACAACCAGTGAAAGGCTAAGGACTTGACCATTGTTGTACTAAGTCTATGGTACCAACTCAACCATTGTTGTACTAAGTAAGGCGAAGGACTTGACACTCCAAAACCTGGCCCTTTCGGTCTTACGGGTCGAACCGTGATCCAGACCTTCCGCGCGTCTGATCGGAAGAGCGCACCAAAGAGCGCACGGGCCCAGGTTCCCCCGGCAGGTGGTGTTCTGGTTTTGCCTTTTTTGGGGGTCCATTTTGTGGTTTCCCCGGTGGGTGAATCCCCTTTTAGACTTTGAGGCAATATTTTGTTAGCTTTCCCAGTTCTTTAAGGAAATTTGACTGTTAATTTTCTTGAATCAGTGGTTGTACCCCCATGCTTCTTGCCAGAGCCTCACCAGTGGGTCTGGAACCATTTCGAGCAAAGAAGTTACATGTATGACTGGTAGGATATCGTATCAACATAAATATATAAATACCGTATACCCTGCAAGTCAAAGACTATACAAAGAATGGTCTTTATGGGATCTGAAAGGGAGTTTCCTTTACTTCACTTAGGGAAAGTATAGCCGAACTGGGCTTCCAGGGTATAACTCGTTTTGCATCGCAAATGGCATGTCCAAATCATGCTTGCAAGATACACACTGAACGATAGAACATGGCGGTATTGGCAGGTCAGCCTCCTTCCGCACACCGACATGGACCTTGAAAAGTCCCTGTAAAAGAGTAGAGATAGCACCAGAACCTTCAAAGTCACCTCTTTGGAGTCTGTAGGTGACCTCTTCAGGGACTAAGTGACCTCATTCTGGGATCTCAAAAGGTCACTTTGAAGGTCCTGGTATAGGAATATGTCTCTATATTTCATGCCAACACCTTTTCATGCCTCTTTGATCATCAAGAACAGGATTTTGTCTGTTTAAGATGCCATGTTTTCCTTTTTTTTTGCGTGTTGTGTTTAATTGATCCCGATCCCTCGCCTACTATCTACCTCTGAACATGAACAAAACGGTGCTCCTCCGTGACCCACCACCGAGGCAAAGCCTTAGCGGTGGCTGCCGCCACCTTCGAAGGTGCCATGAGGCGTTCATTCCAACGACGGCACGCGCAAGAAGGACGTTGATGTGGTCTTTGCTTGATGCGAATCATAGGGGTTGAGCAACAACCAAGCTTCCATGTTTGCAGCAATTGAAGGACTATTCTGGAAGTTTTTCTTTTAGTGTGGTATGTTTCGTTGTCCACAGGTTGGCGCGGCTTGGTGGCATCCAAAGCAAAGTCTCCCAGGAGAACTTTGCAAGAGCTTGGCACCAGCCATGACCTTGGTTAGCCATTAGAATTTGGCTTTAACGGCCCAACTCACGGCCTAGAGGTCTTCTGTTGATGGTGTGTTGTTTTCAAAAAGAGGATGCCCCAGAGCAAAAGGATATGCCGACATATCCCGACTATTGCCCGTTTGCATGTATTTTCGCGCAGTTATTGGCGTTCTCTCCAAGCATGACCAATGTGTTCATGGACCGTACGACCCTTGTCTTGTGCTGAGGGCTGCTGCATCGATGATGGCATTGGATGGAGCGATTGGGGAGTGCGATTGGGAGCGGAAGAATCGCAAGCAGAGTGAATGAAGTGCATGGTAGCACACCGAGATGCGACCCTGGACCCCAATCCTTTGGAGGGGTCGTTGAACCAAGCCCAAGCCAAGGGTTTGGAGGGACCGGTCGGGCGTCGTTCACGGAGCGTGGCCACGGGCATGCGGAACATTGCTTTGATTCGGTTTCGGGCGTTGGGGGTTGCAGTGCTTTGTTCAAGGGAAGACCTTGACAGCCTGCCTTTTTGGCTTCTCAACCTGCCTGTGGTGCTCCTTTTCTGTACTTAATAACTTAATTACCTGTGGGCAATGACTTTCCACTACCAGGGTGCTCTAGCAAATTCTATGCAGTGCCCATTCCTGGTCATTCCTGCCCACATTGGTTCCGACTTCTGCTTCCGAGTCCTCCGAGGCTTTTCGTCTGCTCCATACACTGCTCGCGCTGGTCGTGCGACGAGAGACCGTCCCCCGGGACGTTGGGACGGACGAAGGTCCGGCGCGGAGGTCACTACGAAGGTCACTGCGAAGTGGTCGACACTGCGACTCCGCCAGGAGCTTCTCGTTCCAAATCTGCGAAGTTGGCGGACTTGGTGAAGGAGCAAGACTGGGAGGCTGAATGAACATTGAGGGTCGGGCGAGGCTCGCACCAGGTCTTCTTGGGGCTGGTCTTGTGGTGTCCCGCGAAGTGGAAAATCCCGAAGGGCCAGTGAATGGGAGCAGAAGACAGGGGCAAATTAGTCGTCCAATTTCCTGTGCATGGGGAGGAGAGCTTGGTTGCTCCAGTCAGCGAGTTCCCTATCACCGTTTCTCCAAGTCGGGAAGAGCTATAGGATTTGAGATATGACTGACTATACCATGACCCCCCTCGTTCCGGGTGTAGCCGGTCTAGCCGCGATGTCCATGAACGAACCCACCTGGTAGAGGGTCCTGGAGCCCTCGACGGGAGGCCTGCACCAACGTCCTCATGCAGCGGATGAAGGTCTCCCAGCCGAAGGACGACGCGGGTTCGGACGCGGTCCGTCCACGCGTCCGACTTTGGAAGGGAAGACACAACAGACACGTCAAGGGAAGCATCTTTCAGCTTCATTGATCAGTTGGATTCAATCCTGGAATATATGGTTGAGACAACCACTCTTTCAAAAGGATCAGAGGAATTGGCTTGGCTTCAAATCACAACAAGGAGGTATTTTTGAAAGACTAGTCATGGGAACAACTGTTTGATATTCCAACTCATAAGATGTAGTTGTTTTTTCTCGTCACAGGCGCCAAAAATACATATCGTTCTGCCCTTAGCTGTCGCTGTTGCCCAGCTGTTGACGTTGAGTTTCCGCAAACGATTCACTTTGCTGAACATCTCAAAAAGCCTGGCGGCCAGGACTTGCTTCCCCTCATGCGAGGCACGGCCACATGAAAACTCTCTGCCAGGAGTCACAAAGGGGTGCCGAACTTGGAGGATAGGGGTGCTCATTATCCACTCACTTAGGAACTTTTAAACATAGACCCAACTCCATGTGACTCCTGGTAGAGTTTTGTTCCATGAAGGTTACTCACCAAAGGGACTCCAGGAATCAGTCGCCCTGCAAAAAGTCCAATAAACACAGCTGAGGCGTCCATGAGTCCTGGAGAAGTAGCCAAATAGCCAATGCATTGACTAAGAGAAACCCTCCACGTGGCTGTCAGAGCGCCGATGTCGGAAGGCATCCTTGGACCACCGGTCTGACTGGTGCTGGGGGTGGAACCACCACGTAGAGGTGATTCCAGCGAGTGTAGCTGCTTTTCGGAGCAGTGGGATTGGAGGATCCGTGTTTCTTCCCAACCAAAGAAGGAGGTGGCACAACCAGTGGAAGGGTGTTTTCACCGCTGGAAGCAGGTTCCTGTGTCCGCAAAAAAGAGAGGTGTCAGAGGTAGACGCCAGCGCGGAGGTTCCCAACCTCCGTCCGGGTCCGCTCCTGTGGGTGAAGTTGTTAACATGCGGGGTGATCATGGGTGATCCGGTCCAATCGAAGTGTCCATTTGAAAGAAAGAAAGTGGGGTGATCCAGTCCTATAATTTTGATCAGATTTGTCTTGGATCAACAAGTTCACGAAATCGTGGTTCAGTGACTTCAGGCTTGCTGCACCATGTGGCTGAAGAGGCACGGGTGAAGTCGGAGGCGGAGAAGCAAGCTAAGGTGGGGGCCGCCGAGCTTCTGAAAGGTTGGTGGTTGGCGGCTTGAGATTCAAGCAGGCTTGTGAAAGAACTTGTGCAGTAGACCCTTGATTAATTTGGATTGAAAAGAGCTTTTAGTATCATCAAGAGTCTACATTAGTACGCAGACCCTCTATCCAATAAACTTGGAAGTCGATGACCTGGACTCAAAAAGACTTTCGGCTTTTCCTCTGAACTCGCAGCAGCATATTTTTTGCCACGGATGTCCACTGGACTGGCGGGTTTCTCTTGCCTGTTTCTCAGGTTCTTCCCTACTTGCTGGGGCTCTATGGCCCTGAGGCCGGAGATCGGGAAATTGGGGTCAGCAGTCACATACAGGTCAGCAGTCGACTCAGTGCGTTCAAGTCACACAAGCCAGTTCGGCAACCCGTTCGAAAGGACTCAACCCGTTCGCGGGAGCCGGGTTTGGACACAAAAACAACCTCGGGATGTTTGGGAAGAAACAATCATGTAGCACTTGGTTCGGGTAGATGAGCCTTGCGGGAAAGACCTAGCCTATCACCCAAAGGTAGCAGCTGAGCCTGTTCTTCACTTGGTGATCTCTTTGACAGTCCCATGCGGTCACCTGCTCCGGGCCAAAGCAGGCGATGTGACCTCCAAAGCAGGGGATCAAGCTTCGTTAGAAACATCAGTAAATGTACCCGCCACCCAAGGAAGCTGGAAAACAACGTGTATACCTACCATCTCCTACCTAGTAGTTCAGTGGATCACCGCTACCATTGTTTGGGAAATCCAACAGGTGCAAAAGGAGTTACAGTATAACTCCCATGCTTTCCAGTGATCTCCAGCTTGGGAATCAGTACCTCAAACCCTCAACCCTCCCATGCCCTCAACCAGGTCCTGGACTGGAATGTCCGTCCTCTCCGATGACCCCGGTCGCTCGCCTGGTCTCGGACACCCCCCGTAGCTCCGCCATGGGGGGGGTCGACACCGCCTTCGTCTCCAGGCGGTGGCCGAGGCGGAGAGGAGCACCACGGTGGCTCAGGCGCGATGGACGGTCGTGGTTCGCACGTAGGCGGTCGGGCTTGGACTTCCAAAGCACGCTTGGGCTCTCCCAACATTTGGGGGTCAATCACTTCCCAAATCGCAGAAGACCTTTTGAAGTCTTGGTGTTTTGAGATGTTTTGGGACTCCTCAGGTGTTGGGAGAGGTTTTTTGGACTGTTCAAAGTGAACCCACCCGTTCATTGGTGATGGACCATTCATCTAGGCACTGGATGTTTTTATGGTGAACTTCGGCCACAGGAAGGTAAAGAGATGGAGCATGATGGAACACGGGAAACAATGGATTAGAAGAAGCCCGAGCCAATTCATGGGCTTCGTGGGGTCTTTGCCCTACGGCACCCATTACCTTAGGCAACATGCTGGCCGGAAAGAATTCCAGCTAGAGATGACCATGAGGCCATTAGACCCGGTTCTTTTCTCCACAGGCCGAATGGCGATATTCTTGGATGGTGAGGTCCTTCTTCGATGCAAAGTGTGGGGCTTAGCCAGTGATCTTGAGAAGACCTCATGAAAAACCTGGTGCGACTCTATAGGGAATGAGGTCATGAGATTCGATTCCTTGTTCCCGTCTTGCGAGTCAGAACAAGCCTGTAGTGGTTTGCAGTGGGCGTGGGATGCCACCTGTGGATAGATCGTCGACGGCCTGATCTTCACACTCCGACTGCGGCATCCAGAGATCTGCGAAGGTATAACAGGCCTCGCAACGCAACAAGTGGACCACCAGCCATAAGTATATACCTGTAAGCCATCTAAAGCCCCGACATGACCTTTGTGTTGATAGTGGGTCGTTGCGTGTCGTATTTCAGTGGCCAGTTTCAAAGGCTGCCATTTTCGCAAGAGCGGAAGCTGAGGACACTTCAATGCCTGCAAGCCGAGGTTTTGAAGGCCTACGAGGCGGGCATTTGTAAGCGGCCACCAAGCCGTCAAACCGAAAGTTGCTTCGGACACAGCTCATTTTACTCCACCAACCTGGTATAGTCATAATCCACTATGTCATAGGGGTAAAATTAGTCATTTGGACTCTCAGGGAAGCCCGCAAAGACATGACCTGCAACTCCTTAGAATCCTAGGGGATCAGAATTCCGGTCCGGTGTTGGAGGTGGAAACTCCTTGGTCGGAATTCAGGAAGGAGACTTTACTGCAAAAACTCTGGAGAGCAGCTGTTGCCAAACTTTCTTCCTGAAGTCTAGGAACAAGAAGCCTAGGGGCTCCTTGCATCGCTACTGGGAGCAAGGACGCTACCAGGGGCTCCTGGCCTTACTACTATAGGAACAAGAAGCTACATGACATGTGATTCCAAACACGGACCCCCATCATGCTGGAGTCCACTGGACCCTCAAATGGGGCGTCCCCAGCTTGAATGGGGCGTGACTGTGGGTCATGAGGTCAAGCTCAATGGGTGTGTCTTTGAAGGAGGACCTCCCAGTGCGTTCTGACTATCTGGGAAGGAGAAGGAACATAGACCTGGTCGGCCACGATTGGCCTCCCTAATAGAACAAACAAACATTCCAAACTCAGGGCGTGAACCTCACGTTCCCAGGTGTGAATGAATAGGTAGACCTGAAACTCATAGGGAACTCCCAAGGCCTGGAGGAACTCCCAAGTTCACCATCCGTGCCCCCCAGTCCCTCCCCGCTCGCGGTGCCGGACTCGGAGCTCCGCACCCGGTGAGGCGAACGAGTTCCAGGCGCGGGGAGACGGGCCTGACGGGGAGACGGTGGACGTACGGGGTTTCCCTGCAGACGGGTTGGCTCTGGGAGGTGGTTGAACTCGTGGCGAGCGAACTCGTGTGGAACTAACGTCCAAAAGGCATATATAGTCACGGGCGCCGCGCGGTCCGAAGAGGGTGAAAGAGAGAATGGTTCAAATATGTTCAAAGCTGTAAAGATCTGTAAAGAAGACCCTGGCCCTAGTCTAGCTATAGGCATTACTAGGCCGCTCGGAATTCAGGACTTGACCCCAACAACAGCGCCACACCGTGGAGGGTCTTGAACGATCAGGAATGTCTGCATTCGGCGAGAGGGGCATAGTCGTTGGAATGGAAGACTCTTCTGAGCTAGTACCGTAGAAGTCCAACTTCGTAGATTCCAGGAGGAATTAGCAGAGACTAAGAGCTAAGCAGCTAAGGATGCTGGTGGCTCCAAGACAAGCTAGGGGTACGACCAAGAATAGGTGTGAAAAAGGTGGACTCCAGCCGCCAGCCCCAAAAAAGACCCGGAAGAGCAAACTGAGCAAACATCCTACAACCCATTGGACCAAAAGGTCTCACGCGATCTCAAGAATGGTAATGGTATGATTGAATTGATTGGAATGGAAGTTGACTGGGCCCAGTGGAAAAAAGAACCGACCGGACCCGGTGCCAGTGACTGACGTTTGTGTCCTCTAGACTTCCAAGTGTAGGGACCCTATAGCCTATACCAATACCGAACTGCCCTCCGAACTTCCACCTCCATCCACCCCCCGCCCCATCCGCCGGGGTGTACAGCCTCTTCCAGCCTGGCTGTGAGGCGGCGTGTGAAGAGCTGAACGACAGTTGGGACTCCTCCATGTGCATGCCTTTGGATCGCAAGATGCACTCCATCGAGGCGGTCTCGGACCGTTCGTGCGCCGCGGCGAAGCAGCGGACGAAGACGTGTTGGAGACAGATTGGGCAGGCAGAATCGGCGTGAGGAACGATGGCCTGGCCCGGCCATTCTGGCCGGGTCCCCCCCAAAAGCAGGTTGATGTCATCAGGCATGGACTTATGGTCTTATGACATCGATTTTTGCATGACTCTTCGTCTAAAGTGGTCTTGCTGTGCGGAGTCACCAATGCGAAGTCTTCCATCATGTTCATATGAGGATAGAGAGAGAGAGAGAGAAGATATTCTTTGTGGAGTAAACCCAGAGATGACCAGATGGTCCTGAAATTCCAATACCCAGGTTGGCTCCGTAGCTTGGCGAAATCCTTCGTAAAACACTGTAAAATGATCGTTGTTCAAAAAAGGAAACACGCATGGAACCAACGGTGGTCCTGAATCCTAGGGAAATCAACTGATCTAGAGTGTTACACCTTAACACCGCTTTTCAGGACTCGAATCGCCCAAAGAATGCTCAAAGACATCAAAGACTGCTTTTGGCCAAACCTCCAAACTTGTAGATCCAAAATTTCAGAAGCACCTGACCTTCGAGAGAAGAGTAACTGGAACTACAGATTACACAGATCTGAGATATTGGACTCATTGGTTCCCAACCAACCTCGCAGGAGTCCCGCCTTCCTCGTTCCTCCGCCGCAGGATCTGTGCCTCCAGCGTGCGCTGAAGCGAATTCTGCCACTGGGCCGCCTGCGCCCGCGTCGCACGAACTCGAGACACCCCGGGGCCGAGCGCGAGGGGTGGGCCAGGCCGGGCCGAGCTCAGGTCAGGAACTGTTGGGCATGGTCCACACCTTGGGTAATTATATCCCATCATCAGCAACAGTGGACGATGATGCTTAGCTCGCAGGCCTTTCCATCTCTAAAATAGTGATCAGTGATCATCGTTTACTGACTGCTACAGGTTTCCTGGCACAAGCCCAAGCCTGGAAGACTAGAATGAACCCTGACTGAACACCACTGGTTGGTAGAGGAGAACAATCTTCCACGGGGCCATTGTCAGGGTCCATGTTAGTTTTCGGGAGTGTAAGACCATGCCATGCAGTGAGGAAGGTAGAAGGGACAATGGGAGCTGCCCCGCTCTTTGACAATGATTACACCATAAATATCCATAAGACCTTTGGTTACCACCTCTCATGCCTCGGCAAAAGCCAGTCGTCCGCTTTCACACAGATGTGTTCGTCGACATCTGCAGAACACTTGTGGCTCAAGCATTTCTCTGGCTTCTCCGCAGATCGAGTCCTTTAGTCTGACGCACTGATTCTCCGCATGAAGCTGGTTCGGTTGCTCGTTCGGTGGCTCCTGGCTGTACAGATCACGCGTTCCGTCGGTGGCGCTCCGAGCGGATCTCTGCGCGGAGCAGCGGACGAGCCATCGGCCCGTCCGGCCCGGACGAGCGCGCCGGGTCAGACGGTGCCCGTGCCGAAGTCGCAAGTCGGACACGGTGGAAGCGAAGAGAAGGTGGAAGCGAAGATTGCGAGCAAGACAAAGGCTTCAGAGAAATCCAATGAGATGAAGGGAACCACTCCAGATGGTGAGGGTGTTCCAGCTCCAGAAAAAGGTGAAGCAGGGCCCTTAGAGGGAGAATGGAGCAAGTGGGAGGATGTCAACAACCTCCAAGCCAAGGAAGACGCTGACACCACTGCAGATGGTGGCAGCGTGACTTTAGAAGGTGAAGA